ACCATAGAAACAGAGGCAAAGATGCAAGAACTCGTGCAATTAGTGTTTAAAAATCTTCTAATGACATCGATTCCAATATCAAGAATACTTTCCTCACAGTGGCTAAGAGTTTTTACTACCAAGCTTTCTGCGATGAAAGAACTATCAACCTCCACATTGTCAAAGTTCTCTTTGAGAAAGTCATCTAATTATTTGTCTGTCGTCTTCCATAAATGTCACCTTCAATGTGCATAGTTACCATGAACATAAACAAGATCATTGGTTGTGACTGGGTGAATCATTTTCCTTACAAAAGAGGTGGGAATAATTGAAGTGACAACATATTGTATAAGCAGTGTTTTGTACATTAATTTTAAATGAGAAGTTACATTTCCAACACCTCATATCAGAAATTACTGCTTCACCAAATGGTCAGTAGAAGTACAAGCAACATAAGAAGGCAGCATAAAATACAAAACATGACTACTTGATGGGTCAGTTTATTGAACCATCCATCTTCATCTATCATAAACCTGCGAAAAAGGAAATAAATATGATGTGAGAATGAGCAAGTCAACTTCAAGAAAACATAACATCGAGTGCTCAAACAAGTCTGACGGGCAGTAATCTGTCCCAAGTAGGGCTTCGGCCTAAAAACTTATTAGTACCGTTATAAACTTGTGGTTATAATGGCAATGCAAGAAGGAATTAACTGTCTATCATTGACTGAACTTTTAACAAGAGATTTACAGCATGGTTTCCACAAATTCAGATAGTGGAAAGTTATAAGGTAACTGAGGTTAAGTTTGTTGTGAGATCTGTGTTGATCTTTGGTCTAATGGTTTCCTGGTAAAGGCAGGAAAAAATGAAAGTGGAGACAAGGCTGCCCCATGAACACGTCGCAAAGTGGGTGAGTTGGTCTTGATCATGAAATGGGCATCAACTAACATTCCCAGATTTTGCACTGATTTTCCAAAATTGTCAAATCAAGACCAAAAATCACTCAATATTTCTTTCACGTCCAGATTTTTTTATATTTAAAAAATAACATAAAAGAATAGAACCGCAGAGTTAATATTTTATTCACCATGCCTAGGATTAGTTCAAATATGGATTGAGAAATTGGATCAAATCAGTAGTAGAAGAGGGGGCAGAACAAGACCCGAAGGTTTTGTGCTGCAGATAATGCCGCATGAAGATGGGTGATGACAGAATGAAACCAACAACAATTGAGATAAGTTAAGCAGAAAAGCAATATCAAGCGCTTGATAGCGTGGGAGTAGTCTTCTCATGCTTCTCTCTCTTTCTCGGCAACAAAGTATTCGAGCAGCAAATGACGTCTTTCTAGGAGAAAGAAAAGTTAAGATAGGGTCAATCGAACATATGGTGTGGTGTCGCATGGTAGCTATGAACATAAGCAGAGTGGCGTGTCAAATTGTGAAGACACTGAAGCGGGGGAAGGTGGGCTCAAGCCAGTAGTCGAATCAGAAATGAAATTCCCCTTCAAACAGCATGATTTATAGCCACTGTACTTTCTTTATGTGTGGAGCATATAGCTGTGCCGTGCGCACATCAATGTGAGATCTCAATGCCCTCAGACTCGATCACAGAAGATGCGGCACTCGGACATATGGTTGATATCATGAGAGGCCGCCGCTGAAACGATGAAAAGATGACCAAAAGAACCGAAGAACCAGTTGCCCCAGTTAAAGAAATGGATTATCAGTGTAAAGGGAAATGTACATGAAAAGGAGAGGGGGGGATGATAAGATATACATCAGAGAATATTTTAATGTCAGAGTGTCAGTATAAACGTAATGGGACGATGTCCATAGTCATGATGCGCATGAGAGAGAGGGGGGGGGGGGAGTGCAAAAGAAGATTTGACGTGTGGAGCATAACCAATTTCGGTAATGCGTACGGGGCCAAACCTCCATTGCGACTTTCTCATTATCCATGAAGACAAGGGCACGTGATTTCCCAGGTGCGTTATTTATCCTTTATCGTCTTTCAAGCTGGCTTTGGTGTTGCGATCATGCAGCAGGTAGGCCAGAAGCCCAGGACCCACCCCTGTCCATCCTTGGCCTTGCCACTTCTTCCTTATTGTTATCCACACAGATTATTCATCAGCCATGCTTTGCACTTTGCCAAGTGAACTACCACAACAGCCAATCATGCCAAGGCATAGGCTAGAAAAATAGGATCCATTTCTGGGGTGTCAACGCGTGTTTCAAATTTGAGGGGTACATATAAATCTCAAAAACACCAGTGAACTCGCGGCCTGTTTCATGAAAATTTTAGGGCACTTTTACTCTTTCCCCGAGAGAGGCGCTAAGAAACAAGGGTGAAAAATTCCTGCTGCACTTCCCAGCGGTTTACTTGCATCGTCCTTTTGAAGCCCCCACTTAAAAAAAAATTAAAAAAAAAATTAGTTGAAGGGACGTGGTGTGTTCTTTTGACCGTGTTTGATACCTCCAACAAACTCCTAGTCCACAAATATTGAGTTCGCAATTTTAACTTTTGAGTGATGACGTGCCTATGCCTATTGGCCGGAGAACCCACTGCCCGCCAAATCAAGTCATGCAACAGGCTGGTGCATATGGCAAAACCGGGAAATCACAAGGCCAGATATTTAGAGAGAATTTTAATAAAAACCCTTAAAGTTTACTTATTTAAATTTAAAACTCTTAAATTTTTAAAATTTTACTGTAATTCAAAGATATTAATTTGATATTAATTTTTTAAAAGAAGTGAAAAAATCATCTCTCATTTAAAATGATATCAGAACTTTTTCATTTTACTTATTTATCATCCTATTTCACCTTTTAATTTACTTAAAAAATGTTATTTATTATCTTATGTAACTTATTTTCATTTTAAATTTTTAAATCATCTTAAAATAACTTGTTGATTCTCACATTGTATATTATTTATTTACTTACAAACTATTGTTCATTGCCTTAATTCACTTATTCACTATCAAATTTTCATTTGATTTCATTTCAAAAATATGAATAAGTAAAGTGGAACAATTAACAATATTTCATAAATAAATAAACAAATGAAGTAAAATAATGAACAAGTGAAATAAAATAGTTCTGATATTAATTTAAATTAAGGATATTTTTATTATTTTTCTTAAAAATTAAACATCAAATTAGTTCTTTTAAATTAAAGTAAATTTTCAAAAATTTAAATAAGTTTAGTCCAAGAATCTTTATTAAAATTCTCCTGGATCTTTATTGTGATCTCAAGTCTGACCCTCCAGTTTAAGAAAAAAGTATATATAGTACTCCTTGCAATGCTGCTCCTTCTTTTTGGTTTTTTTTTTAGTATAGCAGGGAAGCCGAGGCTTGAAAGGGAAAGAAAGAACTAGCCTAGCAGCTCCTAGCCTCCGAAAAAAGGAAGACACAATCAGGTGGGATTTCAGAACTTGCAATGCTTTTTAGAAATGGGAAACTTTTTTCTTGAAGTGGAATTAGCGATAAAATGTCCTACGAATAATTGAGTGAGTGGTTCAAATATAAGACGTATCCCACGATCCGAAGAGACCACCTTTCCAATGGGATCGATGACATGACAGTCTGAATCATGTTAAAGCCCAGTGAGTCTTCTAGGATCACCTTTCACCTGGGTTCTTCCACAGATCTCTGGATCGGTAGGTCGGACTATATTTCCTCCACACTTTTTAGGCCCATAGACCCAACTCTTAAAAACAAAACAGTCCGTAGCAAAATCCTTCACCTTTTCAACCTTATCCAACCCCTCCCCCAACCCGTTACCCATGTACATCCTTTTCAAGTTCACAACCTCATAGGATCTAACCCAATTGAAATAATAATAATAATAATCATAATAAATGAGTTAAAGTAATAATTAAAATGCCATTGAAATAGAGTCTTAATGTCCCAAATTATGTGAAAAGGAAGTAAAATAAATAAATTTTCACTTGTATTTTGATATAGTAGAAACAACGCAAGAATGTAAAAGAAAATTGTGCAGACGTCTATGATCTTAAAAATTAATAAGCTTGTTATTTAATAAAAATAATAAACATTCATTTTTGTAATAAAATATCTATGCTTAACTCTTCTAGTTTAAAAAACACTTCAGGAATTATCAATAAGAACAAATTGCACCATCACGGAGTTATTCCGCCAAGGGAACACAGGATATTTCACCTATCATTGTAAAATTTTCATTTCCAACAAATCTGCAAAGAAATCTTCAGGATGGAAAGCCTTTACTAAGGAAGCCCATTCATGTCTAGCAAACATACCAAATTGATTTTTTGTGTCTCTCCCTCTCCTTTTGCTTATCCCAGCTTGCATGTGTACTAAACATAACATAATATGCATCGATGATGCTGTTATCCTGTTCAGGCCATATAGGAAAACTTCCTAAAGAGCACATTTACGTCTTCAAGCTTCGAATGTGGTACAGGTTATAAATTCAGATCAGTTAGGCACATGTAAGATGGATAACCTACACACTTGCCTTTAATTTAAAAAAAAAAAAAAAAAGCGGCTCATGCAATTTAGTTCCTTAGAAAGCAGATTTAGTCATACTCTAATTCATCAGGAGTGATCGGCCGTTTAAGAGGGATGATAGACTTCTTTTCAGTATCACGCGATAATGCCTTCCTCATATCTAAAAACAAGGCACAAACCGATAATAAATAACAAGTAGCTTATTAAATGAGGGGAAAGACAAAAGCACAAGAGCGCGGAAGCACACCTAATCCATCTTCTTCCCCAGAATAGTAGCGTAGCACTCGCCGATATATCACATAGCCAAGCTGAGATTTTAATTAGGAAGGAAGGAAAAATCATAGTTAGCACTGGTCCTTTGTCCTTAGTTACATTAAAAACTATAATGAAGTAGATCGTGCTCATATAAATATAATATTAATCCAAAACTATTTAGAAATAAATGAACATATCTGAACTAGCCAAAACTATTAAAGGACTAGACCAATCCAAAAGTAATATTTCTGCTATCTCAATTTACAAATCACACGGGGTCTTTGAGTAGTCTCCCAAATTACTAGAAGAATCAGAACCGGCAAATGATACAATGCAAAACTAGGATGGTGCCACGAAGTTTATGCATGCTTTTTAACAGATTAAAGGACAACAGTCGCATGTTAAAAAAAGTCTATGATGACATGTGATGAATAGCACCCTTACCTTTTCATACATCTTTATGGCAGGTGCATTTGATGCTCTCACAAAGAGATCCACAAAGTAAGCCTTGTCACTGGAAATATCACATTCTCACTTAAAACAAGTCCTTCATGCAAGGATAAGCAATTTGTAACAGTTGTACAAAAAACTTTACCATAAAAATGAAATTTTAAATCATTTTTTCATATAAATCCAAACTCTTGAGATAATAGGACAAAAACAAAGCCATACAGGTGAGAGACAAGGCATGCAGATCTACCAGGGAAAGGATTGATTAAGTCATGGAAACACAGGCCAAAGAAATGTTTTGGATTTTTAAGATATGGTTATCAAATGAAGGCATGTCTTACATCTTGTCACTTATGTCTTCCAGTAGATTCATCAGTTTCTTGGCCAACTGCTGCCGACGATATTCAGGGGCAACAGTTACTGCTGTAACATGACCATGCCAAAACTCTCCTTGCCCCTCCACTTTCCCCATAACTACAGTGACAATAAATGTGTTAAGTAATTTAACCTCCAAATATACTTCTCATAGGATGTACTAACATAACATCTTGAAAAAAGAAAGGGGGGGAGGAGAAACGGCTATGAACCATATCCATTACATAAGATTAAAAAAAACCATGAACAGTGTCCACCATATGGAATTCTGCATTAATCTGAATGTCAGCAGCAGAAACAAAGTCAAACACCAATTATGAAATAGTTATGACAAAGGCATTGATGCAAGTTGTTATCAATGGCTAACACCACTCAAAGACTCACACCCGAGAGGTTCTGCCTTCAATTAGGCACTTTAAGGCTAGGATCTCGAGCACTTATTTTGTCTTCACAGAAAAAGAGACTTAAGTGCCACAATGTTTGGAAGCAACAAGAAAAACGTCAACTTATAAGCCTAGCCCAAAAATGTAAAGATATAGGATAAAATAGGAAACTACAAAAACCAACCTTACAAACCTTAGAATGAGGTAAAATAGATTTTCTTACTTTAAAAGATCACTTGAGCCATTAGTTTTATAGGGTTTCAAAAACAAACATTAAAAGGATAAAAAAAAAAAACCGTGGACTGCCAGCACACTAGAACACAAATAATCCATAAGACACAGAGGAAATTGATGGTTACAAGAAGACCACAACCACACTATAATCATTAGTTACTTCCACGCCTTGCTTCACTTGGACCATGCACCTTTCTATCACCTCTCATCTAAGGTAATTTGGAGATCTGGCACCTTAAGGAATCTCTGTGCTTCTAAGTTCTATGTACAAGCAACTCCATAACAATGGAAGACATTAAAATTGTCATCATTTTCATGCCACTTTCTGCCACTGCATCATTCGCCATAAATGGCTTCTTGGTACAAATCATATCATGTGATTCCTAAATCCATATGACTAATTAAACAACAATTTATAAAAGTTAATGAGCTATTAAGGAAAGAAATTTTTATCCTTCACCCTTATCAATGCCAAATGTGTTAATTTGTGAATCACCCACTGTTTACTTGCAGTTTTCGCAACCTATTACATGTACAAGGAAATGATAGACAATTTTTAGTCAAGCAAGTTCAAAGGCAAGTATACACGTATTTACATTTAGCCAATTACAAGAGGGAATTTGTTATGTGGAGATCCCTCATATAGTTTAGCCAGAAAGAGAAGAGATCTTGGTGTTAATTTCCCTCAAAAAATCATAATTTTCCGTTTGAATCATTAAAAATGACATCTATTTTCGGCAGAATTAAAAACAAAACAACTGCCATGACCTAGCTACCAAGCTGAAAGATCATTTACTACAGCACTAAGAACGGCTACGCAACACGACCTAGGTAACTTTTCACTAATTATAGGTTTGAGATGAAAAATCAGAAGTCAGGATGATTTATACATAGGCAAGATAAATAACTTACTGTAACCCATGATTTGGTTGCCAGGACCTTCGGCAACGTGGAAATAGTCCGGCCACCTTGCCAGGTAGGTCATGTAGAAGGACATGTTAAACTGAAACGGAGCAGATGAGAATACCCAAATGAACCAGGGTCAGCAATAAACTCCTGATGCGTGTTTCTTTCGACAAATTGAAAAAACGTAGGTTTTAGACAACTGGGAGGAAAGGCTTACAGTTTCAGTGAGATGGTCGAGATTGACGGAAGCAAAACGGAGGAGATCGTTGCAGCAAAACCTGCGGATCGTCGTCATCTTCTTAATCTTAGCCCTTCACTCGCTCTCCAACAGGTGCCGAGCGTCTACAGTTGCTTCCGAGCGGGAACTCAGGAGTCAGGAAGCAGGGACGGGGATTGATACATTGGGGATGCAGATTGTCTACATCGCTGTTGGGGGTAGAATCGGAGATGGCGGTGGCGTAAGATGTGCAGTCAAGTAATCTTGACCGTTGACATGATCGAACGAATAATAGTTGCCGCTGCTGTTGAATTCCCCGGGGTTTCAGGCCGGGCATTGGACAGCCCCACTTCTTCCCATAACATCATTATAATTTAGGGAGATTTACAGGCAGTCGTTAATAACGTTAGTTTAGTTTTCAATGAATTTTATAATAATTAATATTTTATATGAGATTTGAATGTATTTCTTCCTATAATTTATCATGTAGAGAGGCACATAAGCTCCGAGACGCTGCAGGTTCAATTTTATTGTAATCTTAGGTAGGTAATACATTAATTTATGTCCTTCTAATTTAAAATAATAATAATAATAATAATAGTTGAATTATGGCTGGACTGTAGTCAAACAGTTTGACTGGCCTTAATTAAAATAATAAAAAAAATATTTTAGATATTCAACCAAATCATTGATACCTGTCAATTTATAGTCAATTACATTAACTTTATAGTAAAATTATTTATTGCACGTTACAAGCACCCAAAATCATTAAGTATATTGCATTAGGTATCTAATCACACCAATACAAGTTTTTATTATTAATTACAACCACTCTCTTGAGTTTCCTTTTCTTTCTGCATTCGTGTGAGGGTTCATCATTCATATCAAAGTAATATTTTCCATCACCACTTCTCGGTGGCGAATTGTGAGGAATGTTTGCTGCCATTGTCCCTTTATGGTTCCTTTCCTTTCTCTCTTTCCTTTTCTTCTTTTGTTTCTTAGATGATTAATGAAGGTTTTTTGTGACAAATCAATAATGGAGGCAGTAGGTATGGTTTGGAATTCTAACATGGGAGATGATTCAATTAAATTGGTTCTTGTTCGGAAAATTTTACAGATAAGAAGTTTGGTCAGCCTATGGTCCTATCGGCTATGCAGAAGGCATGGAATATAAAAGAAGGCCTGGTGGTAGTTGAATTTTGTTAGAATTTATTTGTCTTCCCATTTGATTCTATAAAAGAAGGGCAATGGATTCTTCGATGCAAGCAGTGGTCTATTCAAGACCATCTCCTTTACTTACAAGAAAGAGGCCAAGTTATGGTTATTAATGAAATTGATTTTTCTAAATGCTTGTATTGGATTCAGTTGCATGATATTCCTTTGGAAGCTGTGGATGTTGAAAACATGATTCATTTTGGTAAAAATTTTAGTACTGTTTTGATGTATGAAGAACCTTGTTGGAGTGGCAAGTTGTTGTGAAGCGCTTTTTGAGATTTAGAGCGGTTGTGGATGTTAATCAAGTTTTCGTTGCTAGATTTTGGATTTCTCAATAGATGGTAGGAAGTCTTGGGTGAAATTTAAGTATGAAAAATTGCCAAATTACTACTTTAAACATGGTTGAATTAATCATCAGCCACGATTGTGTACTGTAAAAAGACTCAAATATGAATATAATCCAAATGAGCCTAGATATGGTCCTTAGTTAGTGGCAGAACAAGGAGTCAGGAAAATGCTTTAATTATGAAAGATTTTGATTGGTATGAATTAGGAGGTGGAAGTAAGACAAAGGGATGTTGGAAAGATAATCTAGTAATGTCATTATAGATATATTTAAAGGAGAATGGTAGAAAAAATGTGCTATCATTAGTAGAGATGCAAGAGTCAGGTAAAAAAGAATGATTATTCTCTAATGCAGTTGAAAGAGAGTAGTAAATAAAATGTATTATCATAAATGGAGTTGCAAGAGTTCAGTGGAAAAAAAATTATTTTGTAAAGGAGTTGAAGGAGAATTGTGAGAAAAATACTGCATCTATTGTATGGGATAAAGATTTTTGTTCTATTCCTATGGATTTCAAGGAGTATAATTGAAAAAATATTTTATCTTTTAGTGGAGATGAAGGAGTCAAGTAAAGGATTTATCATTTGTGAAGTAGAAGGAGTATTGTCAAAAAATGAATATTTTCTAGTAGAGGTGGAGTCAAGTAGAAAAATTAATCTTTTAGAATTACAATTGAAGGAGTTAAGTCAAAAAATAATTGGTTAGTAAGAATAGTGGTGTCAGGTATTAGGAAGCTGGGTTGTCTAATATAGATAAAAAGGATAATAGGTTGAGTGTTGTTTCTAATTGGGACTATAATTTTGTGGATCATTTTGCCAAATCTGGACGTGAAAATTTAGGGTACCTAAGTGACTTTGATAAAGGTTATGTGGTCTAAGCATCTATTGATGATGAATATCTTTCAAAGGCCATATTCCTTTATGTGAAGTGAGAAGTTATATATGAGATTATTGAAAAGTTAAGATTGGTTAGTTTTAAATGTGATGCAGATGAGGAGTTGCTAGCTGGAGTAGTTAAGAAGAGGAAAATTAGGGATTGGCATGTTGATAAATAAGCAAATATTTTTGTCTATGCTTTTCAATTAAAGAATGAAAAATAGAGAGCTCAAATATCCCATAAGAAAGCTGTGAGTCGTGTGAAAGACGCTGGACAAATGAGATCCAGTAGAACTGTCTTGGCTGAATTATCGGTTAGCATTGATTGTAATAATGAAGCTTATGAGTTTCTAAAAGATGCTAGAAACAATATGGCTGAAGATGTGGGTGGGTGGCCTTTAACAGCCCCAAGTTGTCATGAAGATTATTTCCTGAAACTGTTGTGGCTTAATAGTCTTTAAAATAAAAAACCTTAGAGGGGTTTATAGTAAATGTAAGCCCTTTGTTTTTTTATGGAGACAAAAATGTTGGAGAAAAAGTTGATGTGGCATACATGGGAAGATTTATGTTGATCTAGATGGCAAATCTGAAGGTTTAGTCTTATGGTAGAGTAAGGTAGTTGATATATAGCTCTCATAATCCATTGCATGTTCACCTGGCTTCATTTATGATGAATATGCCCTCTTTGTTTCATTTGTGTGTGGCCATCTTGTTGAACGGGAAAGAAGGGTGGTTTGGAATAGATTGAGTCACTACCTAAGGGCTGGATGGTTCATGGTGTTGCATTAGCAACTTTAATGACTTAGCTTCAATATTTGAAAACGAGGGGTGCAGACTGAGGGCTTTAAGAATGCAATTGAATTTCCATATGTTACTTTTAGATGTGGCTTGATGGATATTGGTTTTCAAGAGCTAAGATTTATTTGGAATAATGGAAGGTTAAGAGAGGATCGTGTGAAGGAATGTTTAGATAACTGTGTGAGGAATGCTGAATTTATGTTGAAATTTCTAAAGGTTTTGGTTTTTCACTTAAAACTTGTAAGTTCATATCATTATCTTCTTCTTCTAGACTATTGTTTTCTAGATGAAAGATATAAGAAGATGTTTCAGTTTGATGTTGATTAGGTGTCTCACGCTGACTATGAGGCAGTGGTTAGAGAGGCTAGTATGATGTTTTTCCCGGGTGGAATAATATTGGTATGGAGGTGGTGGTGTGTCAATGGGATTATTGTAAGAAGGTGCTATGAAAGTGGGGCAAAGTTGAATTTCTTAATAATAGGAAATTAATTGATGAATTATTGAATAGATTATATATTTATAACTATAGTTAGTAGAGTGAAGAGTCTAGGATTGAAGCAAAGAGTATTGTTGAGAAAATTAATGAAACTTGGAAAAGAGAAGACCTTTTCTAGTGGCAGAAAGCTAGAGTTAAGTAGATTAATTTTTGTGATAGCATTTGTTGCGGCGTAGAGCCAGAAATAAAGTGTTAAGATTGAAGGGTGATAATGAAGTTTGATTAGAGGATTTTGGTAAGATTTATGGTGCTTTTACTAGTTACTATAAGACCTTATTTGCCTCTGTTAGTTTGAGACATATAAAGGAAGCTCTTCAATATGTTATTAGAAGAGTAGTTTTTGATTACGATAATAGTTTGCTGTTAGTTGTTGTATCTTTTCCAGAGGAAGCTATTTTTCAATTGAATGCTACTAATGCCTCAGTCCTGATGGATATACAAGTTTGTTATATTAATCATCTTAGTCTACGATAAAAGATGAAATATGTAATCTAGTTTTTCAATTTTTTAAGGGGAGGATTGGCTTAAATGACATTAACAAAAATAGAATTCTTCTTATTCCTCAGATTGATAAACCTGAAATTATTAATCAATTTAGACCTATAGGTTTATGTAAAGTTGTGTATAAGATCATTTCAAAAAGTTGGACTAATCGTATGAGGAGCTCGATAAATAAGTATAATTCAACAACAAAGAGGCTTTATTTTGGGTGAGTTGATCCATGATAATATTGTAATAGCCTATGAAGCTTTCCATTATTTAAAAGGTAGGAAGGATAGTAAAATTATGGAATTTGCCTTGAAAGCTGACACGAACAAAGCTTATGATCGGGTTGAGTAAGACTTTTTAAGGTTTGTCTTGATTGAAAATGGGTTTTGCTTTGAAATTGGTTAATTGAATTATAGAGTGTGTTACATTTGTTGAACTTGAATTGTTGATTTTAGCATTGATAAATTTAAGCCCTAAGAGGGTGTGAAGCAAGAAGATCCTCTTTCTTCCCTTCTTTTCATAATCATTGCCAATGTTCTATCTCATATGGTTCTTTATCATGTTCTATTTCATATGGTTCTTTACCATGTTGTCCAATTTTAAAAAAATTCATTGATTTTTATTGTGTTGTTTTTCTAGACGAATAATTAATTTGGATAAATTTTGCTTGTTTTTTTTTTCTTGCTAATGCATGTATAAATTTGAGAGATGAAATTTCTTCTGGTATGCAAATATTTGATGCAAACTAACTTGAAAAATAACTTGATTTACCTATTATTTGGGATCATTCTAAGGCTACTTCTTTGGCTTTTGTTAAGAATAAGGCAGGTTGAAAATTTAGAATTAGAAATAACAATTATTGAATTTTTTAGAAAGAGATGTTTTAATTAATGCCATGGCGAATGCCATTCCTATTTATTTTATGGCATGCTTTCTTTTCTTATTAAAACTTATAAGGAATTGGATAGTTTGATTTCAAATTTTTAGTGGGTTATGGTGAGAAAGGTGTTGGTAAAATTTACTAGAGAAGATGGAGCATGCTAACTAAATCAAAGTTGGAAGGAGGCATGGGTTTTCGTGATGTTAAAGCTTTTAATATTGCCTACTTCTT